ATCCCTGAAAGTTTCTCTGACTCTAACTCCTCTATTCCCATATATCTTCCACATTGAAGGACCTTGTGATTACATTGGGCTATCTGGGTAATTCAGAAACATCTTATTTTAAGGTCCACTGATTAGCAAACTTAATTCCATCCCAACCTTAATCCTCCCTTGCCATGTAACCTAACATATTCACAGATTCTGGGGATTTGGAAGTTGACATCTTGGGGGGCCATTATTCTGCCTACTACCCCCCCCCCCAGTCATGGTATGGTATGGTATGGTATGGTATGGTAGGGTATGGTAGGGTATGGTAGGGTAGGGTATGGTATGGTAGGGTATGGTATGGTAGGGTAGGGTATGGTAGGGTATGGTATGGTAATGTGTTTAGTGGACACCTATTGTTTTTCTTTTCCCAGAATGTTTTCACCCACGTTTTGTTGCATCATCTGCACTTCTCTCTTCTATATGGTACATTTCACTCCTTTTGTTGCTAGTAACTCTGCCAATCACACAATTCTACCTCGTGTGGCCACAACAGGGAGCACAGGGAAAAATTATTAATGCATCACCCTAGACCAGGGGTGGGCAAACTTTTTGACTCGAGGGCCACAATGGGTTCTTAAACTGGACCGGAGGGCCGGAACAAAAGCATGGATGGAGTGTTTGTGTGAACTAATATAAATTCAAAGTAAACATCATTACATAAAAGGGTACGGTCTTTTTTTTTTTAGTTTTATTCATTTCAAACGGGCCGGATGCGGCCCGCGGGCCGTAGTTTGCCCTCGGCTGCCCTAGACTCACTCTTGGTCCAAGGAGACAACATATGACCCAAGCAGGAAAATCAGAGTCCTGAGAACTGAGACAGAGGAGCAGCTCCCTCGTTCCCCATGGATCATGTGCTACATAGGCTGTGACCCCAGAGATGCTGGTGGTCAAATAGGCATAGGCACACCCCCCTCCCCCACAACGTGGAGAAGCCTGAGAATGAAGCCAACAGACAAACAGAGGCCATATCACAACTGGGAAGGAGAGGTCGGGCCTTTTGCTCCACCCCTACATTTCAGAGGCCACTCCTGGAAGACAACAGTTTCTGATATTTTGCTCAGGCTAGTTTGAACTGGATTTATGTCATTTGGCACCCGAAAGCCCCAAAAATACAAGCTTAGATAGAAATATTACTTGCTTCATGTGTGTCAATTTTATTTTCTCCATCACACTGTAATTCTTGTGAGATCAGAGTTTTTGCCACAGTTCTTGGGACATCCTCCTGTACTTCTGACAGTACCGGGTTTATTATAAGAGCTTCAAAACTATTTTCTTTTTTAAATATATATATTTGTATTGATTTCAGAGGGGAAGGGAGAGGGAGAGATAGATAGAAACATCAATGATGAGAATCATTGATTGGCTGCCTCCTGCATGCCCCCTACTAGGGATAGAGCTTGCAACCTGGGCATGTGCCCTGACTGGAATAAAACAGTGACCTCCTGGTTCATAGGTGGATGCTCAACCACTGAGTCACACCAGCTGGGCTTCGAAACTATTTTCTGATTGCCCAGGCCGGTGTGGCTCAGTTGGTTGAGCATCATCCTGTGCACCAGGGGCTGGCCGGTTCCATTCCTGGTCCGGGCACATGCCCAGGTTGCTGGCTCAATACCTGGTGTGGTGAGTGTGGGAGGAGGCTGACCTATGTTGGGAATGGATGTTTCTCTCTCCCTCTTATTTTCCTTCTCTTTAAAAATCAATAAAACATATTTTTAAAAGAATTTTCTGATTTATATGTTCTACTTACATGTCATAAAATAAAAATATAAATAAAACAAAAGTTATGCTTACACATCTTTAATTTTAGCATGTTCTTGACTCTATTCATAAAATCTATATTTTCCAAGTCTTAAACTTGCACAAAATCTGATATTTTGTAAGATGGAGGTCTTAAAAATAAACAGCTGATCACATGTGTTGCTAGAGTGTCAGGAGCACAAGAATAAGAGTAACGATTAGCAGAGATTGGGCTACATACAACTGACATTTTACTCTCCCCAAATTAGATCAATAGATTTTTAGAAAGGGACAGTCATGCCTAATTTAAATTTGTGAAAAATAAACTTTTAAAGGGAATGCATTGCAGGAAGCCACCCATTGTCTTCACTATCAGAGAAGTGCAAACAAGGATCCTGGAAAGCAGGTGAACCTTGAACCCATGGCAATTTCCAGAGTTATGCACCGATTGTCTAGTCCAGACAATGGGGTCTCAAGTTATTTCCTGATCAAATAGTCTCAGAGTAAATCCTTGTAATATTTACTGACGTTTAAGATGTCTGTCTGTTACCGCAATTACCTGCCTGACTAAGAGCTAGATGTGTATCCAAAGCTGAATGAAAGGTTGGCGAGGCCTGGGCACCAGGGGAAGTCCTTTCTCTTGCATTGGGCTTGCCCGCCTGGCCCCCAATATTTCCAAATTATTATTTCTTGTCTCGTCTCTTTCATTTTCGTACGGCCCCCTCCTCCAGATCCCGAACCTTGAACCACGCGGGACTTGGGGGGAACATTCACAATGCATGAAAAATACAGAGAAATAAAAAAAAATTTTAACTTTTAAATATATTTCTTTTCATCTTTTGGGGGCATTTTTATACAGTTAAGATTTACATATGTGTGTGTGTGTGTGTACATGTGGCCTGTGTGCGTTTAGTTGTGTATGTGTGCATACAGCTTTGCATAGAGTAGTGGCCGGCAAACTCATTAGTCAACAGAGCAAATATGAACAGTACAACGATTGAAATTTCTTTTGAGAGCCAAATTTTTTAAACTTAAACTATATAGGTAGGTACATTGTTATTAACTTAATTAGGGTACTCCTAAGGCTTAGGAAGAGCCACACTCAAGGGGCCAAAGAGCCGCATGTGGCTCGCGAGCCGCAGTTTGCCGACCACTGGCATAGAGCACACTTCCCTCCGTGGATCATAATTTGATGGCAGCCAAGGGCTACAGAAATATTCCCTGACAAATGAAACTGATGCACTGACCAGAGGGAGGCACCACAGTGTCTTATCTTTCATCACACTTCCATAGAAAAGAAATAATTTTTCTCATTCAGAGACTGTGTTCCTAAGCTAATTAGTACTTTAATCAGATCCAATAACCTTGAGTCCAAAACCTTGGCTATTTATTTTTTTTTTACATAGATTCTGAGTGCTCCATGGCAGGCACAGTTCTAGGGGCTTTACATATGTTAACTAATGCAGTTCTCCCACAATTATGTGAAGGTTGTTTGTGGTAGGCAGAATTTTAAAAGATGTTCCTCCCCTCAAGATTCTTCTTCCTGGTCATTCAATCAGAGACAACCTAGGCACTGCTCTGAAGGAACTTTGCAGATGAAATTAAGATTATGGACTTTAAGACAGGGAGGTTATCCTGGATTACCTGGGTAAACCCAACGTCATCATTTGAGACCTTAAAAACAATGTGGTGCTCTAGCTGGTTTGGCTCAGTGGATAGAGCGTCGGATTGCGGACTGAAGGGTCCGGGATTCGATTCCAGTCAAGGGCACATGCCTGGGTTGCCGGCTTGATCCCCAGTTGGGGGGGGGGGGGGTGGGGGCAGGGGGC